AATCAAGTAATTTCACAGAGGTGGTTTAGCACCTCTGTGTGATCAATTCCTGTTCACTGCTGGGAGGCTTAAATTTCCCTACATAAAACTGGCAGCTCTTAAACACTCCCAAAAGTCCAAAGGAGCATTGTGGGGTTTTCTGTGTGTAGTGTTGGGCACAGTTTAAGCAGAATATTAAGGTACTGGAAAGCATCCAGAGTCCCATGAAGAGCAGCTGAGGCGTTTGGGTTTGTCTTGTTTGGAGGGGTGACCTTGTGGTTCTCCACAGCTTCCTGAGGAGGGCATGTGGAGGGGGAGTACAGAACTCCCAGGGATCCAGTGACAGGATGGATGGGAGTGGCTCAAAGCTGTTTCAGAGGAGGTTCAGGAACAGAGCTCCTATAGAGCTGATGGATACCCCATGCCTGACCCCTTGCCTTAAAACAAATTATTTGGACAATAGCCTTAATAAAGGGTTTTAAATTTTCTCAGCTCTGGAATAGTCAGGCAGTTGAACTAGATGACTTTCATAGGAATATTTCTATTACTATCTATTTCTTATTTCTATTTCTATTTCTATTTCTATTTCTATTATTTCTATTTCTATTTCTATTATTTCTCTTTCATTTGTATTATTTCTATTTATATTCTAATTTCCCATTTTTTTTAAAGGTTTGATGGAGGAACCTGTTGATTTCCCTCTTAGCTACTTGGGCGGGGACTTTGGTTTTGCAGATAGCAGCAGAGTGATGTGTTAATTACATGAACATCCTCTTTCACGCCTGCTTTAATCTCATCTGTTTAACTCCTCATATAACTGCTGAGGTGACTCTAAGAATTACCTTATGGCTTATGTGACATGCACACACCCCTCCCTTCTCTGCAGGGGTTGCTGTGCAGAAAAAATTGCAGCAGGTTTTTGTCTCGCTCCCTCTTTTCATTTGTGAAGAGAGCAAACAAACCTGGAGCAGGGAGGGAGGAAGGGAGGGAGAGAGGAGAGGAAGTGGTGTCCCGAGGGGCCAGGGCCCTTGGCATGGAGCTTACCCCATAAATGCTTTTGGACCTATCTACAGGAAACTCCTGGAGAAGGTCACTGCCAGAGCTGGCTGCTGAGCAGGGTGTTCCTGAGAGCCCAGGCAGTCAGGCAGAACCCAGGAAAATAAATCTTCAAGGTGAGGAATCCTGAAGACCAGACCCTTCTTCACCTGCTTGGTCCCTGATCTTTTCATTCCATCATTCTTCAAACTGCAGATTATTGCACTTTGCAGCTGTGGGGCTCAGGAATTCATCTGCTCTACACTCTTTTGGCTTAACTGGGGCATCCAAGCCTGCAAAAAGCTCCAGTCTTTTGAGAGGTACTGGGGATGTTCTGGCACAGAAACTCATCTTCAGTGCCTTTCACTGGGGAGTATCTGGGTAAGGTAAGAAATCAGGCAGTTTGCAGATAACAGGTCAGAGGAATAACATTAAAAATAAAAACCAAATAATGCTGATATGTTAAATAGGCTCACCAGAAGGTGTTTCCTGTTCTTAAAGCATGGAAATAGTATTGTAAGTAACTTCTGTAGAAAAGAAGGTTGTGTCAACCATAGATCTTTATCTACCATGACAGAAGTTCCTAATGGAGCAGCAACAAGGTGCAAGATAAATTTTATATATTTTCCTAAATAAATATAAATGCAATTTGTTTTTTAGATTTGACACTACTTAGGAAAAAACAAGATTGGGCTGCTACATAACTCCTGTACATCTACACAGATATTCTGATGTTCCACCAAAACCCTGAGTCCTAAATATTTTAGGTTGTCATATTCTTTAACAAGGAAAGCGTGTCAGCATAACAACATATTGGTGGGGTTTTAAAATTATTTTTCTTTGTCAAGAAAGTACTCCACACAACAGTTTGGTGCAGTTTTGTATGCCTTTTAAATATTGCATACTATTCTGTCCCAGTTTGTTTTCTAAGAGGAAAAAGCAGCTCATGAGACTTCCAAATGGAAAAGCAATCACAGTTGCCCAACATCTGGAAATGGGAATGTGTGAGGATATAAATTAAAATTTCTCAAAGCTTTTTTTTTTTTTTTTTAGGTATTTCTTTCATCCTTGTGGTAAGGTCTCTCCTGGTGCTCCAAGACAGAATGGTCTTCCAGGATCTATTTTCCCCAGTTCTGCTCCTTGAATAAAGGTATTTTAGTGGCTGAAATGGTATCAGTACAAAACTCGTCAGTGGTAACTAAACATCAAATGTAAAATAATGACTGTAAATAGCTGTACTATCCATTGGGGGAGAAAACCAAAACCCAAACACCATTAATCAGTGATGGAACAAATGAAAAATCCAGACTGAAAACTAAAAAAGTGAAACTTCCACAGAAAAATGAGAATACCTTTCAAAGGGATTATGTCTTAAACAACAATGCTGATATATATTGAGTCACTAGTAAGTTTTTAATTAATAAAGTGTTCTATTTGGGGAAAAGTTTTCAAGATAGTATTTTTTTTCTGTATGCATTTAATGATACAAAATTGGTGTTTTGATAGTATGGTCTGAGTTAAGGGGATAAATAATGAGCATTGTCATACTAAAGTTTTATGACTCATAAAAACTCAGAATTTAAAAAAAACCCTCAAGAATTGTCTTTATTACTCAGTCTATGACTTCACCTTTTCTCTGAAAAAATACAATGAATTTAAAATGTCATGATTAATACAATCATCTCCTTTCCCCGTCACCTTTATACCTTGAACTGTGTCATTTCATGCTTGGTTGAGAATTTTGGTGAACAGCAGTTAATAAGCCCAGAGAGCACAAGAACACCTTAATGAGATCACCTACTTGGAAGGGGAAGGAGAATCTGTAAAATTGCAATTATACTTCAAATGATGCCTTCAAGATCCACAGTTAAACTGAATCATTAATAAGCTATTTTTTCCAGTTGTACCAAAAATCACTGGAATTTTGGATGCAAGGTAGCAAAAGGTCTTTGGTTATAAACAAGCTTTGTGTTCCCAGACCAAAGCACATTTCCCTCATTTTTTCATCATCTTCTTTGGGTATAACAGAGATGGCTCATTATGCTGGTAAAGTTTATGGGATGGAGGGTGATGTCTGTACCAGCAGTACAGAGTGTTTATTTCCAGAAAAAATAATGCCTCAACTTCTGCTCATCAGAGAAACCTGAAGAGCTCAAACCCCAACCCGTTTTGCTTGCATTTTTTTTGTCTGCAGAACATCAGCTACCAAAACTGACAGATCTGCTCCCAGACAAAAAACCAAGATTCCTGTGCAGGGATCAGCCCAGGAAAACTGAAGGTGATCAATTAGGAGCTGGGAGAGAAATTCTGTCTCAACTGCAGCACCACACAGAAACTGGTGCTGCTTAATGCAGCCTGTTTGATACCAAACACAAGATTGCTGGTGGACCAAGCCTGAAGACTTGGCTACTCATCATCTTGAACTGGCTTGGCTTCTGGAAAGCCAGGGAAAATAGACAACAACCACGAGGTAAGAAAAGGTCTCTTGGACACTGTGAGGAAACTGAACCGTGGAATGATTCCAACAGTCATGGGAAAGAGTGGGAATCGGGTATGGAAAAGTGCCATGGATCTGGGGAATAGACCATGGCTGGGCTGGAGGCTCTCCCCTGAGAAATGGCTGCAGTACAGTTTTATCTGATCACACCACTTGGATATGTCTCTTGGACACATCTTTATAAGCATAAAGCTAGAAGATTAAATAAAGGTTGTTATAAAAGTATCTGTTTTTTTCTTGGGAGGCACATGGACAACACCTCCTGCTCTCTATTCGTCCCGTAACCTGATGTTTTTCAAAGTAGCTCTTAGTGACAAAAATATAGCATTCTCTTATTAACAAAACTATAGCATTCTCATGAAAATAAACTGCAGATGTAGTAGTGGTAACAGTAACTGAACCATGGAATCTGCTGAGTTGGAAGGGACCCTCCAGTCCAGCTCCTGGCCCCAACAATCCCACCCTGTGCCTGTGTCCAAACACTCCCCGAACTTTGTCAGGTTTGGTGTTGTTACCACCGCCCTGGGAAACCTGTTCCAGTGCCCAACCACCCTCTGGGGGAAAAACCTTTTCCTGATACCCAAACTAAACCTGAAAACCCTGACCCAGCTCCAGGTTTCAGGTCCTGTCACTGCTCAGCAGAATGAAGAGATCAGTGCCTGCCCCTCATCTTCCCCTCCTGAGGATTTTAAAGACCCCAGTGAGTCTCCCCTCAGTCTCAAAGTGCTCTCAGCCCCTAGGCCCCCTCTCCTGACCCCTCCCCATCCTCACTGCCCTCTCCAATTGCTTAAAGCCCAAATCACCCTTTTGTTAAAGACAACACTTTACACACCATTTCGGTACCCCTTGCCTGGGAAATCAACGTTAGAAATATTAACATTAAAAAAATACACAGTGCAAATTACATAACGATAAAAAAGTTGCTTAAACCAACGTTACAATTTGCTGATTCTATCCAGAAAAGAGTTAAGACATATCCCCAAGCAGTTCCCAGAACCAGGATGAAATGGTACAGTCCCAAAGCAATTAAACAGCACAAAATTCTGTTTCCCATACAGGAGTTACTGACCATCACTGGTTAGGAAAATTAATGAAAAAATAAGAATTTTTGTTATTTCAGTACGAGCAACTACTACCAGCAAAGGCATGCTGCACATCTGATTAACTTTTTAACAATTAGGAGCTGTGACATGTGAAACAGATAAAAAGCAGAAAAGTCAAAACCTAGGTTTAGTAAGGCAGGTAATGGAATGTGCTGTTATGTATAAGAAATGTTTCTTCAAATGCTGCAATCCTTTAAATGCCAGCTCTTGGCAGTACTGAATTGTTCAATCTTATAAACAGATTATGTGTTTTAGTGACACACCTTCCTTCTGAAACTCAAGGACTCAAATGTGAACAAAATTTATGGGCAAAAATTGGGCTGAATAGTGTCTACTCACGAAAAAAGCTACAACTTATTAGTGACAAAATACTTTAGACATAGAAATCAGTGTTGCACGTGTTCTTCAGCGATATTAAAAACAATACTCAACATAAAAATTGTTTTCGGCCGAACTAACAGACTACACAACACTCTCCTGCATCAAGTAAATAATAAAAAAAAAAAAATATCCCCTGCAAGAGTCAGCACAGAAAAACTCCAGATGTTCTGCAAGCTGCACATTATCTCACTGCACACAGGAGGAGGACAGAAACAAGAACTGCAAGGAAAAGGGTTTGTATCTCCAGCGACAGACTAAAGACCTTTGAAGGGAACACAGCTCAGTAAAATCTCACTACTCTGAAGGCTTTCAGTTATATTTGTCTGCAAACATAAAGATCCATGGAACTTAGGTGTGTGTCTAATCATGGAAAATGTTTAGACAGAACAGATTGGAAGCTCAAGTCACCACTGGAACACAAAGATTGAAAATACTGCAGAAATCTGAAGCATACATTGCTCAATACTGCTTATTTACAAGGTTGTTATTCAAAGGTCACTGACCACTAAAATTGTTTCACAAACCAATCTGTTTTTACAGGTCTTAATCCTATAAATACTGTTTTTGTCAATACACGGCCACATTAAGAATATGATCATTTATATCAAGACTAAAATTATTCTGTTTTTTCTGTTCATCTGTAGTAAAGAGCATTGCTCACCTGATGACTTTGTGTACTTCAGCAAATTAAATGAGAAGTATTTGGTTAAAACATAGCCTTAACTCCTAAACCTAATGTGTGACTAGAAACACTTCCTAAGGTGATGCAGGGCTCTTACCTAGAAAAATCTTAACAGCTTCTGAGGACTCAGCAAACAAGTAACAGGACAATTAAAACTCTTTCATGCTGTTAAATTTAGCTAAGAATTACCTCCTGTTCTTCAGCATCAAGTACTCCCCCCATGCTTTGAAAACAAGAAGCCACGGGATTACAAGAAAGGCTCATTGAACATGTTTTTATAGAGACTCTGCTATCAGGAATATTAGTAACTAAAAGATCTCCAAATCGTGGGCGTTATCGATTTCAATGGAATCCTCAGGTTCCATCTTTGCCTCGTGGTGCCCTTCCTGCAGGTCCTCCAGGGAAGCCAGAGCCTCGTTTGTGTCGCTGGCAAAAGTCTCACGAGATGCATCATCATATTCCTGCAGGTTGAGCCCCTTGATGGCCTTCTTCATCTTCTTCCCCAGAACTTGTATCCTCCTCTTCTTGGCAGCTTTCTTGTTTTCGTACTCCTTCTGGTTTTCCAGATAGAATATTTCCTTGAGAGAAAACAAGTAAACAGGCAAAACATTTTTGCATATTCATTTTACTGGTATTTCCTAAAAAAAGAAAAGAAAGCGAAGCACTAAAAAGGAAAATACAACAAATACTAGTCAATATTTAACTAAGCTACTTGCTATTGAGAGCAGAAGTGTGAGAAAAGACTGCACTTAAGGAAGAGGGGAAGAACAGAAAATTTACTTTTAATAGTGTAAAGTGATCAGCCTTGCAACTTCTAAAAATTTTTCTGACCACTGCAAGCTATGAAAGGAAGTTGGAGTTTTATTTTCCTTTCTCTTTTTCTTTTCTTCAAACAATTTCAATGCTGACACAAAGTTGACTTTTTTCTCAATTCCCATTACCAGACTCTAGAAGGGTTTACAGAATTACCTGTATCGACCTATAAGCAAAATAAAAACTCTAACAAAAACTTTTTTAATAAACTAGCATACACCACCAAAAAAAAAAAAATTGGTATTTTCTCCACTAAGTTAAAAGAACTAAGAGAAATGATATTTACAAGCTTATAAAACTGATTTTAAAGAGCACCACAGATGAGCCCAGTGAGCAATTCAGATCAGACCATCAACTGGTTTAATGAGAAATTCTGCCTGGTGCCACAGCTGGAGCTATACAGGACAAAAATATTCTACTGGGAGACCTGCATTCAATCCATGCACAATGACACAAAGCTCCAAGGGGAGAAACACCATGGTGACAGCTTTGCTGTAAAGAATACCAATCTAAAAATCAGGAAAATCTAACATTTTCCTCTGCCAGACTCTACAACCTCATCTTCCTCAACAGGTTTTTGTGACTGGCAACATGCAAAAATGAGTTCTCTCTGCTTAAGAGTTAATGGCAATTTAATAGTTTTTGAGTAGATTTTTTTATCTTTTGCCTGTCTTTTGAATGTGAAAGCCTGGTTTCAATGGAATACACAGTTACATTTGTTAGAAGTTAGAGAGTTTCAGTCGTGACATTTCTAGTAGGAGGAAAAAGCCCAAATGAGAATGTACATTTGAATTCCTGACATTTTTACCTTGATTTTTTCTTCTTTGATGCTCGGTGTGTTCTTCAGCAGGTTTAAATAAACACCCCCAGGTGTTCTTCTCCTGGTGCCATTCTTATTAGGGAGAGAGGAAATTAGGAACAGCAAGCTTAATGCTAAGTGTTAGGAAAAAAATAGCCTCTAAGGCAACACTCAATGTTGAGGCAGAATAAAGCCAATTTAAGTTCTGGTGTGTCAAATACCACACGAAAATAACCCTGGCTATGTCTCATTTGTGACTGAATTAGTCATACGAAGGTCAACAATCAGCCTGCTAAATCTGGACAGGAAAATAATGAAGTTACAAAAAAATTCCCTCAGAATATAATGTTAAATTGTTAAAACTACATACTAAAGCTGATTTTGGTAGAGAAGAAATGAAATACAAATAATATTCTAACTACTCTCACAGCTATCTGCAACAAGTTTATGCACTAGGTTAAACATTCAAAGCATTCCTAACACATAAGCTCAGTAAAATGTCTAAAACAAATCTAAAAAAGTTATGTTCATCCCAGTTTTTGGGTTTTTTTTAAATTATTTTCTGTGCTCAGAAATGCTACAACTTGAAAAATGCTGCAGGATTTTGCATTTCTGTTGAAAGCACAGGAAACACAACCTGCACTTTAAAATTCCTCCCCACCACATGTTTGACCCAGAAGTTTTCAGTGCAGCAACAGCAGTGCATGGAAAGGGGCTCAGCTTTGAAACCCCTGTAAATTACAAGTGCTAATTATCATACTATTATTCAATTAAAATTTGCAGTATAAAACACTGCGTTTACTCCAGTAAAAAGTGGATGATACCAGTGCAAAGTGTGATACTTTCCTCATAAATAATGTACTCTATAATCTAAAAATTACGAGAAGAGGGATGGTCAGGTTTTAAGTAGGCTCTTGAAACAGCACATCTGAACATCTTTTTATCAGCTGCATTTCATGGTGCCTTTTGTGATCTGCCTTCTTTCAAAGAGTGTACCCTGATCTGCTCCCAAAGCAACCTGTGCCACCAGGAGCTGTGTCCCTTCATCTCCTCTGTTAAACACTTTTTTAATTTCAAGACAACAGAATGCTTCCAACACAACTAGCTAGCTGGAGTTTGTTGATTTGTTGCCTTTTGTTTTTTTGAAAGAGGAAGGTGTTTTTTTTTTTTTGGTTTGGGGTTGGTTTTTTTTTTTTTTTAGTTTATTTTGTTTTTTGTTTCTTTTTTAATTGTGTTCCCCTACTTGTTTTTAGCCTCCTCTCTAGTTCCAAGTGATGGAACTTAAAAATTGTAATCAAGTGAAAGCAATTCCTCATTCTCACCCTCTCACCCACTTTTTCCTTACCCGTAACTTTTCTTACCCACTGTGCTTTTTGCAGTGAGGCTCATCATTTAACAAGAAAAATAACAGACCAGAAATGGACAACCTAACCAAGGAGTACAGGGTTTTTTAACACTATTTTTAACAGGTATCAGTGCCCAGTCTTGCTCTCCTGATACACAAGCCAGTGGTTCCCTAATAAAGGTAACAGTTTTCCTTTTGGGAGTTATTCTGAAACCGGGATGTTGAAAATGCTGGGTTTTATTCAAACCTGAGAATCCTTCATCCTCAATGACGAGGGAAAGATTCCAAGGAGAGCCACAGTAACAGACACAGCATTATCCTTGCAAATCAGACACCATTCTCAGCACAACAGCCTGGGTAATTTCCAGGTTCACTCACCTCATGGTTTGCTCAAATCCTGCTGGAAGGTTACACAGATCATTTTGTTAGGGGTTACACAAATTATTTTTTTATGTTTATTAGGGGAGTCTCATGGCAAGGGAAGGCCATGAAACTCCAGGGGAACGTGCCCAGCACGAGAAACTTGTGTGAAAATTCTACAAGTAGTGAAAATTCCACAAGGAAAGAGCTGCTGCCCTGCCCATCCCTGGCAAACCCACAGGATGACATTTTCCTTACCACGATGAACAGTCCACCATTCTGCTCTACTTCAGCTGTTTCCATCAGCAGCTCGATGGCTTTTCTCTTCCCAATTATTTTCACTACTCGAGCAATTAAGTCTTTCTTTGGCTCACAAAGTCTGAACAGAGAGGGAAAAAAAAAAAAAAAAAAAGAGGCACATTTACTGTCAGAATAATTCCTTGAGTATAACTGACTGTGGAACTTCCACAATGAATAATAATTTATTTTGTGCTGAAGAGTCTATGCGTTCAAATGTGTTTAAATGGTTTACTGAATCAGATTTCAAAATACTGAGCTTCTGAAGCATGTTTTTTCCCTGAAGCATGGATTTTTAAAACTTGTTTCAATGAAAATGCCTTGAGTGGGTAATTTCCTTCTATTGATGAGTAAAATATCAAACCAAATACGAAACTGCAAAGACCTGCATAAATCAAAATATAAAAGCTTCTTGTGCATTTAACAGTTAAAATTAACTTTTTACAGTTAAATCAGCAACTGGAGAAAGCAGGAAGTATAAAAGTTCCCCTGTATCATGTGCCATTTCAGTCAAACCTACATAACAAAGAAGAAATCAGCTTATTGACTGATCTACGATTATCAATAAAAAGCAAACAAAACAACAAAAATTACACTACAACCAGTATTGTATTTATACAGCTCAGTGCCACTGCTACTACAATTAGAAAAAAGAGGCTTCTGGCCTATTTCAGTGAAACTTTATACAACAAAAAGGAGTTTATTGAAAGAAATATGCTTGAACTTTTCAAATTAAGAAATAAGAAACTACCCTGAACTATTAACAGCATTAATAACTAATGAAATAATACTACATGCATAAAAACAACTATGACTAATAAACCCAATCCTTGTCCAAGTCTTACTTAAATGTCAAGCTAAGTGTCAGTAAATCTAAGTCTTGTTTCCCATTTAATGTAATTTTCTTCCCTTGCACAAGTAAAAGAGGAGTGTGGCAGTTTAACTCCATACAAAACACTGCACTGCCCAGTAATCTAGAGTTTCAAAGGTTAAAACCAGATTTTTGTGATAACCACAGCATTAGTGTCAACCTCGAAACAAGCACTGGGAATTTCCCAAAAAAGCCACTACTAAATCTGTATAATGAGAAGCAGTATTTCTCCTTGCCCTGTTCCCAAACAACAAACTATCCTAGTGGCTCTGTAAATAAAAATATAAAAATTCGAAGAAACAGGCAGTATTATTTGGATGTTTCTGCAAGATCACCAGCCACTGTGATGCATTTTCATCCCAGGATTTTGGAAAAGCCTTTTGTCATCTTTATGCCTTGAGAAGGCTGACCTAGAAGTGAGTCTAGACAGAATTAAAGAATGAACTAGGGATTTTTTAAAAGGCCTCAATGGATACACCTTGGGCAGCACAGGAGCCCAGCCAGGGCTACACCCCAGGTGAACCCAAAATGGTCACAAAAATCGACAACCAGTGATGGGGTCTCTCACTTTTATAGGTTTTGGTCTATTTGCATATTGGAGTTAATTGTCCCATTCCAGCTTTAGCCCCTGCAGTCCCACCCTGCTTGTTTTTCTCTCTCCAGCCCACGTTGTTTGTGCTCTTGCCTGAGATTTGGATCATCTGTCATTGGTCCCCAGCTACAGAAGGAATTGTTTTGTCTCCCTGCTCTGTGCAGAGAGCTCACCATCCCCCAATGTGAAGCTGAGAAGAACACACTAAAGCAGCACAGAATCTGAAAAATAGAAAAGCCAAAACCTGAGGCATCAATCTGGCGCGGCACCTCATTTAGCAGCAGGGGACCTTTCCCTCCACTTCTTTCTAGCAGCCACCAATACTTAGTGAAGACGCACCACCATTTAACTCACCGATAAGCAATTTCATCTGCCACTTTTTCCTCTGAATCTTCCTCTGTGATCTCATACCTTCCCTTGTATCTCATCTCCTGCCTTTCCCCCAGTCTGTCTTTCACGGGCCGCTTCCGTTTGAGGAAGCCCTGCCCGTTCTCCTCCTCTGCTGGACACGTCTTCTTGTCATCGTGCATGTATTCATCCAGCTCCTTATCCAAAGTCTCTGCCTCCTTCTGCTGGGCCTCCTTCATCAGCTTTTTAGCCAGCAGGTAGTTGTAAGTCTCAGACTGCCTGCTCCTGTCAATTGAACCGTCCATGCCCAGAATCCCAAGCTCGGTCGCCACCGCATCTTGGTTCTGCTCCTGGAGCACGGCGCCCCAGATGTTGTTGACCTTCTTCCCGCGCACAGCAGTCTCTCTTTGGTGGCTCTGGCTGAGCTGGAAGGGCTCGGGTTTGGCAGGGGAGAAGTTGAAGCACTTCTGCCTCTTCCTCTTCCACAGGCAGCTGTCGTCGTCGGAGTCGGAGCCGCTCTCCTCGCTGGAGTCCAGGCTCTTGGTGGTCCTGTAAGGAACACTGGGAGCACAGGATGAGAGGCTGCTCTGGAAGGGCCTGCAGGAATCACTGCCAGCATGCAGCTTCTGCAATTAAAAAGCCAATTGAAACCCATCACTCATGAAAATTAGAAGAGCTGTCAAGTTGTCGACTGGCTAAAATACATAATTCTGGCCCTTGTGGCCATGCAGATCTCCATGAGCATCTCTTGGGCCACAGCACAGGAGCATCCTTTGAAACTCCTGCATTTTGAGTGCAGGAGCATGAAATAGAGCATGGCTGACACTGAAAAACGTCAGGAGCTGCTCTTCCCCTCAGGGCAAACTTTGCTGAGCAAAATTTATTACAGAACTGGAAAAGTGGTGAATATGTGCAAACTGGGCAAGATGCACAGCAGGCTCTAAGAACAGGAAAATACCAGAACAACCCAGCAACCCACCAGAGCTTTGTCTAACATCAGAGAAGTTAATAACCTCTCTGCAGTTTTAAGTGAGAAGACCAAATGACCAAAAATAAACCCCAAAACCAAACCCACAGTACTGGGATGGTGCTCAGACTAAGAATGCTCTGTGATCCTGGCTCAGTCAGGACAGCACATGACCAACCTGGGGACAGCAGAACCTTTACAGAACCACCCATTTTTCCTCCTTTAAACTAACAAGACATCACGGATTAACTATGTCTAATGAATTAGAACACCCCCCCCCACCCAAAAAATCATTCCACTGATATACAAATACTGAAGAAATGCTTTTACTCCTAATTCCAGTTATTCCCTGACTGCTTCCTTATCATAAAGTTATATGCTGTCCCATTATCTTTCAATATAAGATCTCTTCCTTCACTTTCAGGTGAAATGAAAATTCTTTCTTTAGTCTTACTGTTTTCATCGACACGGTGCTGTTTCTTCTTTCTCCAAACAGAAAAGGGAAGTATTCAACTTACCACATTATGAAATACAAACTTTTAACTTCAAGTGTAATGCAAAAACCCCAAACACAGCATAAATAAAAAAAGACTGAACATTCCTGTAAGAAACTTCTTTTGCGCTTCATTTCTCAGAACTATATCACAAAGATCAAAATGACTAGAGAAAATAAAATTTGTTATGCATACAGTGTCACACAGTGATCTTTGAAATCTTTCTCTGTCTGTGCACTGCCGTGAATACCTCAAACTCTCAGTACGAATTCCTCACAGAATAAGTTCCTCACATCCTCTGAGAATCACAGACTGGTTTGGATTGGGAGGCACCTCAAAGCCCATCCAGTGCCACCCCTGCCATGTCAGGGACACCTCGCAGTGTCCCAGTGTCCAGCCTGGCCTTGGGCAGTGCCAGGGATGCAGGGGCAGCCCCAGCTGCTCTGGGCACCCTGTGCCAGGGCCTGCCCACCCTGCCAGGGAACAATTCCTCATTGCCAAGATCCCAGCCAGCCCTGCCCTCTGGCACTGGCAGCCATTGCCCGGCTGCTGTCCCTGCAGCCCTTGGCAATTGTCCGTGTCCATCTTTGCTGCAGCCCCTTCAGGCCCTGCCAGGCCACCCTGAGCTCAGGCCAAAGCTTCTCCTGCCCAGGTGAGCAATGGCAGCTGTGCCAGCCTTTGCTGCCGGCAGAGCTGCTCCATCCCTCTGCCCGTGCTGGAGCCTCCTCTGGCCTGGCTGCAGCAGCTCCAGCTCCTTGCTGGGCTGGCGACTTCGGAGGGAGGGGACATAAGGAGACACAGAGAGACACGGGGACAGCGCTGGCATCTCTACCCAGACACGGAGAGCCGCGGGGTGCTGGTGCTGGCAGCCGGCAGCGCTCGGGGCTCTCCTGCGCGGTCACCCGGCCGCTCTCCCTCACGGTCGCCGCTGTCCCCATTGTTCCCGCGCACCACGCGGCTCCGCGGGGAGGCCCCGGCGGTACCGGGGAGGGACAGCCAGCAACGCAGGGACAGCCACCAGCGCAGGGACAGCCACCAGCGCAGCGACAGCCACCAATGCAGGGACAGCCACCAACGCAGTGACAGCCAAGCCAGCAGCCCCGGGAGAGGCCACTAAGTCCCGGGAGAAGCCACCAGCCCGGGAACGAGTGCCCCACAGCCGGCAAAACCCCCCGAGGCGCGGCCTCCGCGGCCTTCCCGCCCCTCAGCGCCGCCAGCCCGGTGCTCCCCGGCCCGGCGCTCCGGCCGCTGCCCACCCTCACCTGTTCGGGGGAGCCGGCGCCGGGCATGTCCGCGTCGGAGCCCGAGAGCTCGCCGTCCTCCACGTCGCCGTCCATGCCCCGCAGCTCCTGCGCCATGTCCCGGCGGAAGGGAGGAGCGCGGTGGCGGGGCGGGACAGAGCGTCCGTCCGGGGCCGGGCCGGCCGCGGCTCCTCCTTCCCGGCTCCTGCCCTGTGGAAATCTGTTGGGAAGGATGAAAGTTTGACAAGAAAGTCTCACAGATATGTATGCCTAGCAGAAATATTTTTAAATGTAGAGTCTGATGAAGGAATAGAGATGGAAGCAAGTTTTGATATGGAAGAAAAGAATTGCTGAGCCAGTCTTACTGCATAACCAAGGAGGCAAAGGGTGTGTTAGTTAGAAGGGTTTTTTATGGCTTAGAGCAAAGGATAAACCCACCTCAAACAAGAAGATGTTTTTACCAAGCAGAAAGATAGCACGGGCAAACCAGCCAGCAAAGTTGCAAGAAGAAAAAAGGTCTCTTTTCTTGCAGGTTTCCACTGCAAGAAAACTGAATAACAACTTCTAGCTTAAACTGTAATGTACTAACTTTTAGTAATTGGAGAACAGTAACATGAATATGGCAATTAATAGTAGTTATGATAGGCTATAGATAATAGTTAAGGTATAGATTGGTTCTACTGTATTAAGATGCTCAGCAAAGAAAAGTCTATATTGCATTGTAACCAAAACCAAAGGGTCTCCAGGCCTGCCTGCAGCTGGAGCTGACAGCTGTGGGCACAGCTCTGTCACCCACCACCCTGGGCTGCTGTAACCTCTTTGATGGAACAAACTGCATTTTGGAGAGCCCCATGGAGTCCCACATCCCTCATTTAGGCTCTTACAGAAGTGCCTCTTAATGCGGGCCGGGGGTCTCTGTACAAATCACAAACAGGACGGGACTGCTGTGGAATGTGCCTTGAGCTGTTTGATTTTCCAGCATCAGTCTCATTACATGGTTGTGACAATGGGAAGATGCCACCAGCTCACATCCCAGGCAGCAGACAAAGAACTTAATGTTACAACTCACTTTATAAGTTTTTTCACCAATCCCACAAAGCAAAAGCACATTGACAGTAGCTCTATCCAACCACTATAAGCACAGGTACCTTTGGTTAAACAATGCCTGCTTATTTCAAATACAATACCTGCTTGTAAGCCTTAAAACACAATGCACAGAGCTCCATTATTAAGCTTCAAACTTCCTAATATCTTGCTAGATAAACTTTGCTGTAGTATAGAGAGTTATTCTAGACAAGTGTTAATACACAGACCATTGTTCTATTTGTCCTTACTTTTCTACTTTTTAAATAATTTTTCTGCTGACCTATCTCATGGCTGCTGCTTAGCTCTAATCATATATCTACTGTCTCTGAGGCCTGCCTTTTGCAGCTTTCCCAAAACCCTCTGATTTTGTGGATTCCCACACCTCATGCTAGAAGGAAGCAGGGTGTTATTGGCCTTACAGTGTGCCCCAGGCAGCCTGTGGGGCTCTGGGATGCTTGGCACAAGCATTGCGGGGTGTGGGATGTGGAGAGTTTGCTTCAAGGCAAGTGTTCTTTGGGGTGGATTCTCGGTGTGAAAAATGTGTATCTTGTGATTGGCTTTTTGCAAATGTTAAAATGAATATTAAATGTGCTGTGTTAGAAAGTAATGCTGTATTAATTCTCTTTAAGTAGTGTGGTAAATACAATTTTAGGTTATAACAAAATGTTAAAATAGAAACTATGCTATGTAGGATGCTTTTTTTCTAAAGAAAGGACTCGCATTGAGATAGCAGCCACAGGACACCTGAATCTTTCAGAGAGAGATAATTTATTGCCCCATTATCAGAAGAAACAAACTTCTTCCCACCTTGCTCAGCCAGGACGATGCCATCAGGATTAAGAGGAAGAAGTTGGCAATGACCAGACAGAATCCTGTGTTTGAATGGAATTTATGCATCATGTATGAGATGTATGAATATGCAACAGGCTGTTGCTTTTAAGGGTTAATCCTCTGTTAACGGGGGTCCTTTTTTGCACTTATGCTGCCCAGGAAAAGGTACCCGGACGTCCGTAACTCTTTGTTTCTATTGTCTCATTCAAATTGTGCAAATCATTATTACTCTAATTGTATTACTATTTTTATAACCATTTTATTACTATTAAACTTTTCAAAATTTAAAAGCAAGTGATTGGCGTTTTTCACATCGGTGTGCTTTCAAGCCAGATCAAAAGAAAGGAGGTTCATTCTCGTCAGTGGCACGGGCAGCAGATGCACCCCATAGTCAGGGGCATCCTGGAATTGGTAAGCCTTAAGGGTGTGGCAAATAAAGGTGTGGAGAAGACAAGGCTATGAAGGAATTAATTAGTGTGTATAAATGTCTCCAAGGCAGTTCCTGAGGGGATGGTGCCTCTGTTCAGTGGTGCCCAGTGACAAGGAGCAGTAAGCTAAACCACAACAGGAGGGAGAAGTTCTTTCCTTGGAGGGGCAGAGCACTGAAATGGCTTCCCAGGAAGGTTGTGGAGTCTCCCAAATCCAACTAGATGTGTTCCTGTTTCACCTGGTGACCCAGCCTGGGCAGGGGGCTGGACTGGATGAGCTCCAGAGATCCCTTCCAGCCCCAACCATTCTGTGTTTCTGTATTAGAAGAACAAAGAGGACTTAGCATCCCCCACTCAAGGACATCTGGGAGCTAAGAAGCTTTAAGCTGATGGTATTATTGCATGGTAATACCAGTGCTCGAGGTACTATTAATTACTGATTGAGGAAAAAAGAAAAAACAAATCCAAGCAGATGCCTCATAATTCTTGAGCACATACCAGCTACTGGATAGGTACATTTGAACAAAAATAAAACAGCACAGTTGATAAATTTCTCCTACTGAAAATATCTTGGCTCCAGGAAAATAAACATAGCTGTAGTTTTCCTGTGAAGAGTTACATCACAGCTAGGCATTTATGGTCTTGGTGATGTGGCCCTGAACACTCAATACATTTAAGAGTGCAGTTTTTCACTCCCACCATTAACAGGCCCATGCATGCACACTGTTTTTCCTTTATGCATTTTAGACTCTCTTACCTGAGGACTGCAAACCATCAGTGCCTCGTTCAAAATCCTTGTTGTGGTCTAATTGGATTTTCAGTGCTTGGACACTTATCTGCAATGAAAATCACTGGAAGCTACTTCTCATTATCAATTAGCCATCCTCATTATCAGTTATCCAGTCAGGCCTTTGTAAACCCTACTTGACATTTTTCTGCACCTTAGGATAGGTACTTAAAAATTTCACTCCTGGACTTAAATTTCCTACTGTCTTGAAAAGCACAAAGTTGAAGAGAGAACAGGAACAGTTAAAGCTCCTTCCCTGTTTGGTCCCTCAGGACGCTCATGTTGCAGTGCTTCAGAATTATTCAAGGAACCCAGTGAAAATGAGATAAATTATAGCGTGCTTCTTTCTGTGCTGTTCTCACCTGATTTCCCATTGTGTTTAATGATGCAGAGCACTGCACACATCCTCTTCTGCCAAAAAGCTGTACTTGCAATTAAATAATATCTGTGGGATTTTGCTGGGTTACAGGGAGTTCCTGGGTTGAAGTTAAGGGGAACTGTGGAACAGGGAAAATGTAATCCTCCAGTAACTCACATGAAGGAGTTCTCTATGTCAGCATAACCTGTACATGGCACTGAGCAAAAACCACAAAGAAGCCACCACAACTTCCAGTTTAAGTTCAGAAAAATAATTTATTTGGGCACTTCGTCAAAATGTTCAGAAGCAGGCCCAATAAGATAAATCAGATAACAGTAGAATTTACCTAAAAAAAACCCAAACAAACAAAAAACCCAAAAAAAGCCAGTTGATTCACAACCCCATAGCTTGATTTCCTAAATGAACATTCTGTATTGAGACATGTCTTCCTATCTCCATCTTTAATGCAGTTGTAAAGAACATTTTGTTTTCTCACTTCAGGCATTGTAGGGATGGTAGGCAAGACCTTGGGAAAGAGCAGAGAAATTCTTGGTTAAACACCAATTTTGGTCTCCTCAATGTCCTTGTTTGCACACCTCCAGTTTTCCCCTTACCAAAACCAGCTAAGCTGACAGAAAAAGATTAAAAAACACCCTTTGATTGAGCATATCACCTTCAAAATATCAGCTCCAAAAATAATTTAATCTATTATATCATATTATCATATAATGATTAGACTCAAAAATCAGATCATCAAGTAGTTTATGCCAGCCTGCAGCTGCTCTCTGTTGTGCTACTGCAGTTTTGTGTGAGTGGAGCCTCATCACTGTAGGTCCAGATAAGGCTCAGAAGATCCATCTCTGATTGAAGAAGAAGCTTCATTCTGAGAAGAGAGAGGCCTGCCGAGTTTGTAGCAAGCACATTTCATGTCTATGAAAACAAAATGTGCAGTATTTTTAAGACCAAGTTGAATAAATTGTGGGAAATTACTCCCTCCCTGCTCTGGTGGATGATTCCATACTCCTTGCAGCTGTGACTCATGACAATACCAGTTTACCTTTTACTGGCTGCACAGAGAGGGTACACAAATTTCAGAAAATGTCACCTAATCTCTTTGTGAAATCCATTCTGGTTTTTCTGCCCTGATGAGCATGTCAAACAGATGGAGAATATTTATTTCAAGGTGTACATTTAATTAAAGCAACCGAGGTCGTCATGGCTTCTTCACCTCATCATGAACTGAATTCACAAGAGAAATTGCTCTTAACTCCTCCAGGATTTTTTTTTTTAAAGAATCTAGTTGGTGGTGGTAAAACTAAACAATCTGTTCAGCAGGCACAGTATGTCCCTAGCCCAACAGGATGTTCACTTGGAAAGGGCATCATTCAGGAACACTTGTGCTCCTTAGGATGGAGCTAAACCTTGAGAAAGGGTGCAGCAACCTGATGCTTTTCATCTGTGCTTTCCACTGGATGAAAGATAGGTTTAGTTTACCTGAAAAATAATGCAGAAACTTTTCAGATAATCACAGTTCTGTGTCATAAGTGTTCATCCTCCCACTCTGACTCCAGCACTGCAAATACCTGTTTTTAAAAGCCATGAATTCCTGAGATGTAGGCGGCGTGCCA